CTAACCCTTTGCCAATCTCGTGGTCTGCCCCTGCTCACCTATAATTATCTCTTCTAGCTCTCCATCGGGCTCCGGTCTTGGCATCTGGGCATCGTCCCTCATATCTAATTCCACCATATGAACGGAACTCTGTTTTAAGGGTTTATGGTTGTTCTGCTTAAGCACAGCTATCACTTCAGGATCTTTGTCTACCATTCGTACCGACTTAAAGTAGCAATCTCGGGATTCTTTTTGGTCTCCTGCTATGGTAAGCACCGTACCCTGCTTACCAACCATTTTGAGTTTTTGGTGCTTGGTTGAGACTAACATGTCCCAACCGTGGATGGTAGGTCTTCCCAGAATCACATTGTACTCTGAAGGGAAGTCGGCCACAATGAACCGCACCCTTTCGAATTTGTACGCCTCCTTAGTCCCCAAAGTTAGTCTGAGGTCGATATACCCCTTTGGGATGGTATTGCGACCATTAAACGCAATTAAAGCCGTGTTGCATGGCTTCAGATCTTCTTCATCCAAATTCATTTTTTTGAATGCATGCCATAGAATTATGTCAGCGCAGCTTCCATTATCTAGAAAAATCTTCTTAACTCTGCAATTGACCAGCGTTTCTGTAATTACCAAGCCATCGACATGCCCTGGCATCACATCTTCCAGCTCTTTCTTTGTGAAATATAACAACGGCGGCTCTGTTTTTTCTTCTTTAAACTTGGGGCGTTCCCTTATTGAGAGTACCTCCCTCAAGTATTTTCGTCGGGCGTTCATAGTGTCTCCCCCGCTATCGAAAGCTCCGCTGATCACATTACATTCGAATTCCGGCTCCTGGAACTCGTCGTCTTCCCTGGCCGGCTTCTTACCCCGACCTTCCTCTCTTAATTTTTTATCTTTGGGGGGGCTCATGAGACGACCCCCTCTTCTTTTCCTGTTTCTCCATCCTTGAGTCCGGATCAAATACTGTCGCAGCTTCCCCTCCCTGACATACCTTTCGATGGCGTCTTTGAGGTCTCAGCACTCATCTGTGGTGTGACCCGGCCCGTCATGGAATGCACAGTATCGGGACTGGTCTAGTCCAGCTGGGTTCTGCAATGGCCGAGGTCTTTCCACCTTCTTCATGTCTGTTGAGGCGACCTCACGCCAAATTTGCGACCGAGGAGAATTTAGGGGGGCATATTTATCGAATCTCCCCCTGAGCTGAAACCTGTCATCTTGTTTTTTCCCTCGAAGGTCATTTGTTCATCGACCTCCGAGCTTTTCTCCCTGTCCAGGTTGATGTTTTTGGTCTACATTCTCTAGCTCCATCTGTTCATGCTCTAAGTATTTTTTAGAGCGTGTGTTGAACTCTACTAAGGTCCAAGGTGGCTCCTTATATATTAACTTGGCTAACCGAGATGTTCAATGCAACCCGACTATTACCAAATGTAAATGAACATTTTCTGATAACCCGGGCACCTGCAAGGCGGCCAGTTTGAACCGATCCAGGTATTTCTGCAGCATTTCACCAGGTTGCTGTTTAATCTTCCCCGGCGCGAATTCTGATTTCGGCTGCTTCTTACTGGTGACAAAGTTAAGCAAAAACCGTCCACCAAATTCTTTGAAGGATCTTATAGACCCAGCTCGTAATGACGAAAACCACGCCTGGGCCGCACCAATTAACGTGGTTGCAAAAAGCCTCGTGATCAAGGGTTCTTCTATACCCTTCATATACATAGCTGTGTCAAAGGCATCTAAATGTACTTGAGGATCCTGCATTCCGTCGTACTTGATCAACTCGGATAAGTTCAAATTTTTCGGGTATGGAGCTTCTACAATCTCATCCGCAAAAAGACTGTCGTTATATTGTCCCCTATTATATTTCCTCCGATATACCCCGGTTACGTCACCCGAGTTTCGGATTACAGGTCCTTATTGGTGGGGATTTGGAACCTCAGCCAATCGTATCTCATCATGAGTGCTCTGCATCTCTTCGTGCCGAGGTTGCTGGTGATGACCCGGATTACCTCGGCCCAAAGGCTGCCGTTGTTGCTGATTGGAACCCGGGTTGGCCGCCGTTTGCAGAGGTCGGCCAGCGTTAGTTCTTGCTGGACGCCAAGTTTGTTCCTGGTTGTGTTGTCGTGCGTTCATAATCCGTAGATCAGTCATGACCTGCGTGATGGCTCGCTCAGGATCCGGGTTGGTAACCCGCCATAGTCGAGCTTCCAGTTCCCGGATCTGTCTTGCATCTGCTTGTCGTTGCAGCTCATTGCGCTGCTCCAACTCCTCCATCCTTCGAAGAACCGCTGCCATGGCCAAATCCGTCACCCGTGGATCTGGAGCTACCACGTTCGGATCATCAATGGGTTGTAACCCTTGTACGTATGGTGCATCCGGATTGACCGCTGGAGTTGATGCTGAATCTGAGTGTACATCACTAACATGCACAGCCTCTAGATCTGGGATCTGTGGCATCTGCTGCTCCTGTTCTTCTGGATCTTCCCTGATGGGAGGAGGAACCTGCAGGTTTCCAGGATTTGACGTCGAAGGTTGACGAAGACCACTCCTCGTAGTCCTTACCATTTCCTTAATTGGCTTTCTTAGAACGTTTGGTTATGGGAATTGGTCCCCACAGACGGCGCCAATGTTCTGCCTGAGGCAGATGCGCCCAATGAAGATTGGGTGATTGATTTAGGATTTGAGTGTTTCTCTCTAGATACCTATGAATTAGGTACCTTAGGGATAGCAAATCACTACACACAATATGATGGTCTTAGCCTTGAGGGGTGTGTGTGATTGTCGTGATTGCATAAAGTAGAGTAAAAAAGATCTATCCATACCTGTGGCCTTTAGCTCCTATTTATAGTGCTTACCTATGGGCTTGTGCTGACTATGGGCCTTACTCTGGTCCATAACAGCCATGAAATAATTGTGCTTTTACTTGTGATCGAAATCTTGTCTGGGATTTGCCTTTGTGTGATTCAGGTAAATAACATGCATTATAATTATTCTAGTATTTTCGTGTTGGATAAGAGTATGATCCTGCTAATAGACTTACAAATAAGAAAATAAAAATATGAGAGTAAAAGGGGAGAAGATGTGGGGTTAGAAAATTGAACATCCACTTATTTAATATTTTCATAGCTCTTCCTTGAATGTTTACCCTTAATTATACGCTAACATATTGCCTTACTAAAAATATGTAACTATGATAATTCACGTGAGGGCAGTTAATCGAAAACTTGTTAATTTTTATTTTATTTTATTTTTTGAGTTTAGTGTGAACAATATTTTTAAAAAAAATATTTTCTGGTATTTTGTACGAAAAAAGTTTTCAAATATGTTTTAAATGTTGTGGTAACAGTAAAAGTCATTCCTTATAAGTTGTTACAATTGTTTTTAAGAGAAAAAATTTTTTAGTCTTATTTGACGCGTAAACTAGTCGAAAATACCTCCGACACTAATTATTTTGGTTCTCAATTTAAAATCAAAATTTAGCGTTTACCTTTTATATTCGTGTACTATAAAAAAATACGAGCTTGTAATACTAAAGAGTTTGACTTTAAGGACATGTTTGGTGCATAGTATAGGATGAGGTCTGATAGTATACGACCTGATAGTATAAGACTTGATTGTATAAAATCTGATTAAATTTTAATACTATCCAGTGTTTGGTATGATATTGTATAAAATAGTATCCTCCAATATTTTAAAAATTAATATATTAAAAAAATTTATTTTAACATATAAATGTTGAAATGATATACTAGATCTTGGGAATTATAATTTTAAGCAATATTAATACATCAATCTCTTATGAGGCCTAATACACCACTCATAGGCCGGATTAAGTTATACATCATTTTTGATGTATAAAGGGGTCCTGCTGTATAAGCTTATACTATACAATGGTCACACCAAACAACAAAAAATGTCATAACGTATACTATCAGGCCTTATACATCACACCAAACAAGCCCTAATAATAGGAGAAAACTTCACCTTTTCGCTTTAATTTATTGGATGTAGAACTAGTATATGATAAGAAGTTTTATATCTCCCCTTTTACTTATTCATCATGGCAGTAGTAGTATAGGGTATAAGAAAAAGAAAAGGCTATACTTATTAATTTTTTTATTATTATCTCTTATTATTAAATTTTAATTTTTTTTTTCAATTTAATAGTTATAATTTATTAAAAATTAATAATTAATTAATAAATATGATCCAATAAATTATAATTGTTAAAATAACGAAAATCAATAATTAAGATTTGATACTACAAATAATAAGAAAAAAAAACATATTACCCCCTCCTAAGAAAATACTAGATTTGTATGTCGCATTTTATTGAATACTTATTTATTTGATAAATTAGTTTTTAATGTCATAAACACATTTGATATTTTTCTTTGGCTTTATTTATACTCATGAGTATATTATATCTTTTTCCATATTATTGATACATATATCTATAATATATGAGTTTAAACTTTAAATTAAAAATAAAATTATCCCGTTCCACCATAAATTTATAAAAATTTAAAATATTGAATGTCAATAAGAATATAATAAAAAAATAATTATTTTGAAAAAATATCATTGATTTAATGTATATTAATATTTTATTAAATAACTTATTTTAAAAAATACATATTACGTTGATTACGTAACCCTTGCTTACAATAAATAACCTAGTCCCTCCTTGACAAACTGGAGAGATGAAGACCACAATACACAACACAAAAAAAGGATTATGAGAATTGAGAATACTAATCAGCATGTCGTACTCCGTGTAATAATACGCCTTCTTAATGTTTTTAACGAAGATAAAGCTTGACAATAAAAAATCAGAGACAACAACTCCATAGACAAAACTATTTCGTGTATAAAAGTACGACGATCATAAATCAAGCTGGAAGGAAGAAAATCCAAGAAAGTACAAGTACGAAACCAGAAACTAAAAAGAAAAGTCAGTTTTCACAAAGACATTTATAACAAATTTTGAATCAAGTTTTACTTTTTTAAATTAGCCTGCATTTCATAAATTGTTTAACAAACCTAATGTTTGAATCAGGAAAACCCAAATTCCTAAAGTGGAACTACAAACACAAAATTCGAACTGCTTGAGAGGAAGGGGAAAAAAAGATAGAAGAATTCAAGCTTGAAAACTTGTAACTGGAGTATAATAATTTCTTAAACAGATAAGAAAACTACAAAATTTTGAACGAGTCATCCCCAACGAATAATTGCATACTAGGAAAGACTAGACACCCAGGTACTATGATAGACTACTCAAACATTCAAAGCATTTCATGCAACAGGGACCTCAATATCGTTTGCCACAACAGCAGCAGGCCGGATGTATTCTTCCTCCTCCTTGGGAGCGTGGATTGTGACAATATCAGGAAGGGGAGTTTTGGGACCCTGTTTCCCTTTAGGATCCCAATCAAGCATGATCTTGACCTTGATTCCGAGAACACCCTAAAATATAGTGAAGAAAAAATGATTAGCACCGTCACTCCATAATAAAACAAAATGAATCAGTGTATCTATATGAAGAACTGCAGCAAACCTGTCGGAGGAGCACATGCCTCACTGCAGAGTCAATGTAATCCTTGACTGGTTGCCCAGAAGAAATCATGTACCCATCCTTGAACTTCATGGATTTGGCTCTCTGGGCTCTCAATTTTCCACTAACAATGACCTGAAAAACCAAAATGCTATTACAACTAAATCATTAAATAAAGCAACATAATAACAGGAGCTCAAAGCTGCTGCTGCTGTAGAACAAACCTCGCATCCCTTGGCACCACTCTCCATAACAAATCTCAAAACACCATAGCAGGCCCTGAAACATAGTTTAAGGCAGAGTTTGTAATGATACCACAAACACAGAAGAATTGAGTTTATGCAATATACAGAGAATCTTAAAAACTCCCAGCCCTTAAAAACACATTGGTCACGTGTAAACATGAAAATTTCATTATAGAAATTAGAAAGACAGGCAAATGATGAGAAAGGAGCACACATACACCATAAGGTAGACCAACTTTAAACAACAAGAGTAGATTAATTATACCATCCTACACGAGTATACTTAGAAGTCAAAACTGAATGAAATCCGGGGTTTAATACAATTAGTCAACAAACAATATAGGAAGCAAAGAATATGATTTCAGCCTTCGGGCATACAGAAAGCAATAAACACAGGTTATAAGCAAGCAACTATCATATTATGATGGATCCAATAGCATTTTATTTTCAGTAACGGAGAAGGTCTATAATGCCATGTGGAGTTGCAGGCAAAGTGCAATGACCAGACTGCAATCCTGGAATCAAGTAGTCCCCAAAGGGACTTAATGCCCGCTTGAGCTGAGGCTCCACATAGCATCTAAAGCTTGACATAGCATATTAACATCTCAAGACTAGGTATACACCTAAGAGCATTATTAAGCAGATTAGCAGTTAAATAAATTGTTAAATCATAAAAAATCAACTGGACATCCAGCTTTCAAATTGAACAACCATTGCAAAATATACAAGAGCACTAATATGTATCTTCTTTACTACAAAGTTCAGTGAAAGAGACAATCTGACAAAGCAAGTCTGATACAGAAATAAGTCAAATAGAAGGCAAGTGTGATCAACACATCTATTAGTGGCAGAAGGGCTAAGAAGAAAAGCAGGGAAAACCGAGGCACTGAGAAACATCAAACAATAATCAAGCACGTGTTAACAAACAAAAGCAGGCAACCGTACAATGGTCAATATGCATGAAAAGGAAGGCAAAACTCTCCTTGATATATATAGCAAAAATTAGTTAAAACAACACAATGTCTAACTTATAACATAAAAATTAATAGATTTTTTAAGACTAATAACTTACAGGTGACCGAACATAACACCAGTGTATAAAAAGACATGAAATGGAACATGTGTCCCCCAACGTTACTGCATGTACAATGGAATTTCATGAGTTTTGTTGAAATAGAGGACAAAAATTTATTTGGTCATCTTCCGACACAAACTTGGTACAGGAGCACCAATCTGCTTTATAGATGACTAAGCGAGATATTATCTCCAAGGAAAACAAAGACTGGTCCGACATTCTTTCACAAACAAAAACCAGCGCCTACATAGAATAATCAAAATCATCTACACCTCAAATCTGAGATGATATTCCAAATCCTTCACATTCCTCGATGGCAAGTAGTTAACTGAATGCAATGTTAATAGACATCATATACCAAACAAAAAAAAAAGAATGCCACGGGGAAGCCATAATCACATTCACCTTCCAAGCACGCATTTGATTAAATAACAAAACAACACAAAACACGAAACAACCCAAAACTATCATACTAAATATAAGCATTAAGATTATTTTTCTACATCTAAATGACTAATTCAAAGCACGTATACCTCCTCACAGCAAGGCCACCGAGGAGCTTGTAGCGGAGAGACTCTGCTTGGGCAATAGCACAAAGACCCCTATTGTTCACCTTCTCAGCATATAGTTCCACACTATTCTCGGGAAACTTGAACCTCTTCTGTACCACAGAGGTAAGTTCCCTGATTCTCCTTCCCTTCTCACCTGAAAATTTCACAAAACCCAATAAATAAAAGTTAAAAAAAACACACACACAAACAAATCAAACCACTCAATATCAGCAAAATTGGATTCCACGAAAATCATGACAAACTCAAAACTTCGCAGCACGAACCTAGAACAGCTTGGGTTCGTGTCGCTCTGATGATGATCTCAGTGCGCATCGGGGTGACCCTAACCTCGACACCCGAATATCCATCCTCGGCCAGCTCTCGGGTCAGAACCTCATTCAACTCCGCAAAAAAAACTCCATCGGCTACGAACTACAGAAATAGACAAATCATAGGTTCAGAAACCTTAACAACAACAAAAATTGAGACAAAAAAATAGAAAACGAAAGTTATATTTTTTACAAATTCCTGTGTCTAACTGACCTTTCTTTTCTTGCTCATTTGGGTTGCCATTGTCACTAATCAGAAGCTAGGGATATGTCAGAGATCTAAACCCACACAGTGTGATGATGCGGTGGTAGTGACTGCAAACCCTAATTTCGGAATAGGGCTTTGGACACGTAAGGATAGCTTTTATAGGTAAGGCGATAATCAATCCAACGGCTCCAGTAATTTTTAGCTTTGGCATTCAACGGAAGAGATCTCCACATGGCTTTGGCATTCACCGGTGTTAAATGATGCTGCTTCATATATATATATATATATATGTGACAGGATCTGTTTATAAGTTTTTTTTGCAATTACACTAATGTAGGACTGATCATACACTATGTGATTAATGTAGAACCGGTCCTACATAGTGTAATTTGTAAAAGTTTGTAAACAAAAAAGTTTGTAAATATAATCTGCCAATATATATATATATATATATATATATATATATATATATATATATATATATATATATATATATATTGGAAATAGAGATTATTTATATTTTTTATCCAATGATTATGTTATTTATATTTGAAGTTAATTAAAATTAAACTTTAAAATTAATAGTAAAACGAATTTGATTAATTTTGTAACAATCATAAGATTTTTTCACTATTTTTCTACTTTTACTATGTGATGAATACTTAATAAATAAATTAATTTATCAATAATTGTTGATTTAAATAACAACTAACTTATTCCTCTGGACATAATTCCCATAATTCTCGAGTTCTAATTCTGGGAGCGGATAATATAATGTTGGGACTGAGAGAGTTTCAATATTAATTTAAATGTGCTCATACTAAATTTTACAACTTCTTACAATTTATTTTTCACCGTTAATATCCGTCAATCTAATACTTAGAATTTATTAGATCATATTTATTATTAATTATTAATTTTCAGTAAATTATAATCATTATATTGACAAAAATGAACAGTGAAAAAATAAGTTGTAAATGGTTATAAAACTTTTAGATTGTAAGAATAATGCTCCTCATTACAACTTATTTATTCACTGTTGATTTCTGTCAATCTAACGGTTATTATTTATCAGGTAATATTTATTATTAATTTTTAATAAATTATAATTGTTAGATTGACGGTTTTCAACGGTGAAAAAATAAATTGTAAAAGGTTTTAAAACTTTTAAGTTGTAAGAATAATGTTCATATATATATATATATAAACCCCAATAATTTCTAAATATATGATTGCAAATTCTTATAATTATAGAGTCATTACAAATACTAAATATTCTAAATTTTAAAGTGTTTAAAATTTTAAATAATTATCTACTTATTCACACATTTTTAAATCATGGCTATTCATTCATAACTTATAAATTAAAGTTTCTCATAATAGATAGTTTTATCTCTTACCCACACAAAAAATTGTGTGTGACCCATACGGGGAAGAGAAAAAAAAATTAGGCCTTACACACTTTTTTTTGGATTTTATTTATCGAATGATTCGAGTTAGGTAGGATCATATGGGTGACAAAGCTCTTTCTACCAAGTTCTTCATTTATTTATATTATATATATATATATATATATATATATATATATATATATATATATAAATCCCAATAGTTTCCAAATATATGATTGCAAGTTCTTATAATTATAGAGTCATTACAAATACTAAATATTCTAAATTTTAAATTGTTTAAAATTTTAAATAATTATCTACTTATTCACACATTTTTTAAACCATGGCTATTCATTTATAATTTATAAATTAAAGTTTCTTATGTTATAGGAGATAATTTTATCTCTCACCTACACAAAAAATTGTGAGTGACCCATACGGGGAAGAGAAAAAAATAGGCCTTACACACTTTTTTTTGAATTTTATTTATCGAATGATTCGAGTCAGGTAGGACCATATGGGTGACAAAGTTCTGTCTACCAAGTTCTTCATTTATTTATATTTTTAAATAATTACGTGGAACCTAATCTAATTTATTTTATTTAAATAAATAAAAATTGAGCTAGATTAAAATTCCTTCATTTTCTTACAATGAAGTTGTTATTGGATCAATGTAGATTTAATGATATTTTGTATTTGTTTTAGTACTTTTTGTGGCATTACACCCAAAACAAAAAAAACAACAACAACTAATACGTCGAGTTCTACAAGCTCTCTCCAACTTGCTTCCCTACATGAAGCTCTCCAACTTGCTTTTATAATTCGTTGATTCTAAAAGTTGTATCCCAACTTCACCATACGATCGGCACAGATTAGTTTCACGATTGACATGTTTTAAGTTCAGCATTCCAATGTTGCCCCATACAATCTCGTGTTCGCGCAATCAAGGGTGTGTGGTCGCCATTTTCATTGTGACTATTGACACTAAATATGGATTCAAGAGAGTCACTCTCAAGAATGACATTCAATTATTGCTCCTAGCAAAACGAAGACTTCGAAGGAATGCCCCGAGTTGAGTTCTACTTCGATTATTATGCACTTACCAATAAAATGGACAAATCCTCTCATCCACTCACCATTGCAGTTGCGCATCAATTCTCCATAGGACCCGTCTTTGTTATGATGACAGATTGGACCATCAACATTCATCTTGGTTAGGCCAAGACTCCATGAGGGGGCACCGGCCATAAGCTCCTGTATGAAGCTTCATTGCTGAACTCGTGGCATTAACAACTATGTTGATATGAGAGATGAATTCCATAAAATGCTTGTGAGCTAATTAATATGGTTTCTTTTAATAATTATTATGAAGCCCTGCATTCCTCCATTTCCACCAAAAGACACATTAAAAGGCATCCTCCACTCTTTCCATGGCTCAATTGTGGTGCTTCCACTAATGTTGAAGCGAAACCAATCCCGCAAACCAAGTCATCCATAACCCCTTCAAGATTTTGCAGCAGTCTAGGCCAAATGCGATAGAGAGCTCGCTAAAGAGCCGAGTCACCAGGGTTCTCTATAACTTCATTTCGTAAGTCACAATCCATATTTCCCCATCAAAACCTGAGCCTATAATTTGTCCTGTTGATTAAGGAGTTGCCAAGCTATCTTTTGTAAGAAAGCTTCATTTTTTTGTCGCAGATTTATGATTCCTTGCCCATTGAGATGCTTAGGCAAATGCATTTTATCCCCAGCACTCAGCAACAAGTTTATCTTTATGCTTTTGGCCAATCCTGCCTCGGATTTATCTTCTTTAAAAGTTGCTCAACTTCATTGCACAATGTGAGAGGGAGCATGTTGTTCTACATATGAAAGTTAGAAATAGCTAAGATAACACGTTTGGCTAGTGTAAATTCAGCCATCTAGAGACAAACAATGTTAGGCTTTCCAACCTTGGAGTTATTGTTGCACTCCATCTAAAATGATCGCAAATTGGTCTTTACGAACTCTACCATGACATATAAAGAAGCCTAAGTAACACCCTGGATTGTTAACTTTCTTGAAGCTACTGACTAGAGTGATCTCTACAACAATCTCCTTAGAAAAATATATGCAAATTTTATCGATGCTAATGCATTGGCAAAATATGCTACCAAAGTGATCGAGACAATAAATAATGGTCCTCAATTAATCAAGATATGCTTCCACAAAGAGGATCACATCATCCCCAAAGAATAAATGTGAATCTTCAAGTCCTCTCCTCCCTACCTTGTTGGGTTTCCAATGTTTGTTCAACACATTATCCATGATCAAGTGTGCCAGTTTTTCCATAACACAAATTAATAAGTGGGGCAAGATCGGGTCCCTTGCCTAATGTAACGTTGTGGTAAGAATTTTGGCGTCTTGGCCCTATTCCAAAGGACTCACATTGAAGTATATTTTTTGAATTGCAAGGTATATTTTTTCTATTAAAAATTCAATTGCTGAAATAATAAACTCAGTTTCAAGGGCTTAAGAATATTCAAATCTCTTACAAACAATTAAAATCAGACAAAAGACACTGGAACCTCAAATTTCATGACTTTCCCATGTATTTTCGCATCCATGCTTTTAACTGTTATAGTACCTAACTTGACGAAAATTGAGTGTTGTGGAACTGAATTGAATTTTCCCAAATCCAGCACTGAATTGACTCAAACTAGTCTCTTAAGCTTAAATCTAATCCAATTATGACGAATCCTCAATTTTCCACTCCAAATTATCCTTAATCTTGGAGGTTTCAATTAATAAAATATCACAAAACTATATTTCCCTATCATAATTCATGTAAAAAAAAGGTTCAAGATCCATTCCTATGGCTTCTTGAACTAAAAGATATGCTAATCAAAATTTAAGAAACATGCTCAGCTGGTAATATTGATTAAAAGGTACTCATCACTCCATTCAAGATTTCAGAAAAAGATCTAGCTATTCATATTAACGAAAATTGCAGAAAAGAAAATCATTAAGAAGAAGAAGATGTTCATTACTCTCCAACGTCTAAATGTAGAAAACAGTAGATTAAAGTCAAGAGTACAAACCATCAACTTAAGCTACAAATTCAGAAATTGAAAGTGCTACGCAGAGCCAAAATGAAATTAGCTAATCTTGGTTTTCTCCAAGAGAAGAAACTTGCACCATCAACTTAAGCTACAAATTCAGAAATTGAAAGTGCTACGCAGAGGCAAAATGAAATTAGCTAATCTTGGTTTTCTCCAAGAGAAGAAACTTGCACGTGCTTACAGAGTCAGAAAAACAAAAACTCAAAAACTGAAAACGAACTTGCTAAAAACTGGAAACTAAAAGATCAGCTCAGAATATATATTTAGGACTTAGAACAATATATAAAGGTGTATACTAGATAGCATTGCATGAGCTCAAGTCATTCATAGCATTGCATATTCATAAAGTGCTTAAAAACCTTGGTTTAATAAGTCAAAATTGTATCAAAAGCCTTTTAACATGATTTGAGCATACAAGCAGCCTTGCACAACTTGAATATACTTGTTCACACTCTTGAAAATCTATTTGAACTTGAAAGATTGCATCTTGAACACTAAAGGTTGAAAAGGGACAATTTGAATGGTTTAATATATCAAAATAGGTTTGGAATGATCTTTACATGATATGAATACTTAAAAACACTCTCCATACCCAATTACATGTGTTATTTTGTACGAGAAGAATTCAAGATTTCATGCAAAAGAGT